TCGTTGCTTTCGAACATTGTAGCGAATTGCCAAGACTTGAACGATGATACCTAAGTCTTGTTTACTAGTCACCTGTTGCAACACGTGCTGTCTCAGAAACTGTGTTGATGAAGCTGCTACGCACCGTCAGCAGGTGGCACTTTGCAAGGTTCAGTAGGAGCTGGTTCCTTTATGCCCATTCTTAAACCCCTTAATGCCGTATGTGGCGAAAACGCCTCCGACCATTTCACAAAGGCAATCTACAGTGCACATATTTTCCTTCAGTGCCCGTGTTGATATTTCCGGGGCGTACAGTGGATTCTATCTGTATACCAGTTCACCGCACTTTATGTTTGATTTGAAGTTATAGCTATTTAAAGGTGGGTTTGGCGTGAATTTCGGTTCATAATTTCCAGGACTTTTAGAAAATTAGAAGTAACTTATGTGGAATCAAAAAAATATTTACTAGCTTGTTATTCACTCCTACTGCTAATTTACCAGAATGAGTTATCTTAGATGGAAGGTTATTGACAATAGTGCGTGGTATGTGGCTTTTTCGCTACACTTGGCACTATTGATAGCTCATGAAAGACCTTGTTTAAGCTCATTGTCCTCTGAATGGATAGATTTCAAAGTTTCAGAGTCTCTATCAAGACCAAATGTTAGCGGTTTACGGGCAAATGGTCCCATTAAAGTGAGGTCCAGCCTGAAACAATATATTTCAAAGAAAATATACAAATCGGGATACAAGATTCCTGTGCTTTGCGATACGAAAAGACTTGTGTATTCATTCAATATATTCACAGGAATAATTGATCCTGCTCCTGATGAACCTGTCATCGGTGCAAGTGGAAAAATTGCACAAGTTATTCGGTCCCATGTCAACACTTAAATTTGTTAACTTCTTTTCTTCATTGCGCATGTGGATAATGGATTACCAGCCCTCGGGACAGTACAGCAAGGGTGCATTTTCCGTGAAAACGCCGACATGAAGAAAAAAGGCAGAAGGATATTTAGAGGAAAGATAGTAATTGTTGACGGTGTATAACCAAAGTTACCAAATGGTTTGTCACAGTAGTTTTTGTTGCCAGGAGTACCAATACTCAACCAGTTTGTAATATTCAAAGATGGGACAGAAAATTGAAAGCAGAAGTATCTGTGAAGTGTCCCAGCGTCATCGCTCTGTATAATAAGTTCATGTTCGGCGTTGGTACTCTGGTTGCTTATTGTCGGATCCATACCAAGTCCCGAAAATAATAGCAAAGGTTTTCCCATTTTGTCAACATAGTATTAGTCAACAGCTAGTTACTATGTCAACACGATTACGACTCGCTGGCTGTGCCTCTCCAGAAACAGAAAGACTTGCTTGCTTTCGGATTATCTATTGCGGAGGCATTCCTCATGCAAGGCAAAGCAATGTCGGGGAGAAACTGGGGACCATTTGAAACGGTGTTCAATATAACAAAACACCCGGGTCCAACTAGGTCTATTCAATCATTGGAAATCCGGTCAGATTCTGTGGGTCTCTGGCCAGTGGTTGGTAGTGCACGGCAACAATGCAGACGCCCAACTTGTCAGGGCCAGACATTGATCAAGTGCACAAATTGCAAAGCTCACCTATGCTCGAGCAAGAAGAAGAACTGCTTTATGGACTTTCACGTGTAACACTGATTTTCCTTGATTCCTCCGAAATATTTATTGTAATTTGGATGGTGGACAGAAGGGATTGGCCAATTGCCGTATCAATAAAACAATTATATGGCTGAAACGAGAAAATTTGTCCGGTAGCTATTTTGCATATTTGTGCCGGGTGTTGCGATTTTGCATCATGCCTTAATTTCTAACCAACATGTTTTACAATCAAATAACCTATCCCCATCTAATTTAACACCTGCATGTTTGTGAAATAACAAATAAATAATTTTATAAACACGGTGAAACATAAGTTCGATTAGAAGAGGTTAGTCCCGTCCAGAGCGATCTGACGATAGGCACCTTTGGATGCTGAGCAAATTGCTCTCCATATTTTAACATCATCCACAAATATCAGCATCGGGGACAAAATGTTTTTTGGGAGGTCATTTATGTAAACTAAAAACAGTAGCGGACCGAGAACGGGACCCTGCAATACATCACTGGATACGCACAGGCTTTCGGAGTGAGTGTTGACTTCTTACCTTAATGGTTCTGTCTTGCAGGTAAACTTCTGACTAGGTGAGCACGAAAACGTTGATACAGTAGGCCTTTGAAAGAAAACGAAGTGATTGACCCTGTCGAATGCGTCAGCAAAATCTAAGTAAACCACTTCCATGGGGACTCCTTCATCAGCTACAAGCACGAATGCTGCATGCGGGAACGTGGTTAATCTAGAGCTTGCGTATGATGCCTCTGCCGCTTGACATCAAATATGAATAAACTCTCGGTTAATCTTTTGTCATGCTATTCGCACCTTGAAAATGCACGTTTATTGTGTTGTCAACAACCACTTGACAACCCATCGCTTTTCATCAATGAGGCAATGGAGAGGATCGATCAATTCAACCAACTTGACAACTACATGATAATAATGAGCGAGTACCTACTGAAGTTTGTATACTTGGTACGGGCGCTAGTACTGTCTTTTTTGTATCCGCAACATTTCTGGCACGAAAGAAATTTTTCACTCTAGGATGGGCATGGTGACGGCCTCTTTCCATGTACAGCATAATCATCGCCAACAATAGTGCCTCAGTGATTCGAACTGATCGCTTGCTGCCATACGGCTATAGTGACCTTAGGAATGAGGAGTGCTAATAAAAGAGGTGTGGTCGACTTGGTAGAAAACTTAATGCCCTAAACAAACACTAAAGTGCAAGGCACGTGCACCTTGTCGGCAACATATTTACTAGTGGCTTACACCACTCTACGTCATTATAGACCTTTCGTCCCGGGGGCGAAAGCATGCGCCTCCCTGGTACTGACCGCGAGCTGTATCCTAGAATAACTCGAGCCATCATCATCATTACGCATCAGCTGAAGGTGAGAAACACACCTCAACTGTTGTGCCGCAACACAAAGATAAGACATAATACAAAGTAGCATACTGAAAATTATCGAATGTAAAAAAACATATTATGCGTTAACAGGGAGATGGTGTTTGAAGGTGGAAGGTAAGCGGGATGGGGAGGGACAAAGAAACTTACAAAAAACGCGATTGAGGTCGGCTTCTTGCCATGGCAACTAATGTATCCAACGAGACGTGTTCATCGTCCTTCGGACTCCAGCCAGGCAGTCGGGACACCAACCAACACCACCTTGGAAGTGAGGGATTTCATTTCTTTTACCCAACTCCGCTTGGCCACTTCTGCCGTTTTTTCATCCGTTCCCGGCGCGCAAACAACGCACGACGCGGGAGTCGGTGGGCTAGCATGCGCAACAATGAGCTAAACAGAACGCGGGTCACGTGGACTCCAGTTTGGACGACAAGATGGGTCCAGTTTAATCATCAGCGATTTTGTTTCCCAACATCAAGTTAGTTTCTACCCTCTCGAGCTCTACGCCACCCTACTTCCAGCATTCAAAACGAAGTAAACGGTGACCGAGCATACGCAGAACCTGCCCATGTCACTGTGGAATTTTAATGATTTCAGTGTGGTTTATTGTTCTAAACGACTATCCTCTAAGAACTTTGTACTGTATAGTGAGACTTGACTGTTTCAATTTTAAGCGCCCTCACGCCATCATTACCTTCAGGTCATCGCTTGTCCCTGACGATGGGGTGCACAATGTTAGTTTGGTTCATGTACTCAACTAATGGAACTGTGCACGTTCGACTACCTTTTTCTGTTTTGACTGTTTCATGTAGGATGGCGTAAGGTTAAAGGGAGGCGAGATTGACCATGGTGACAGGAGATAAAATTGTGGATAACTGCACTGGATACCATTAACCAATCTCATTTATCCGACTTGAGTTTGCTGGACCCACCTTGTTCTTGCCTGGTGACTTTTTGCGGAATGGCTCGCAATCTCACCATTGGTACGTGTGTTGTCGTCTCCTTGCTGACTTACTTATTTAAAATGTATCTGTTATTAGAGTAAATACCAAATTAAATTAATCATTATGCAAGTTAATAAAGGTTACAACTCAGAGAACTTACCGGTGTTTCCTTATAGCTACACGATAGTCACACGATATTTGTCGACCAGATATGGGGACCTTGCCCCTCAAAGTCGTTGTTAGACCATTTGGTCTTAAATTGAGTCCATCTTCTTTCTCTTATTACTTCTTGCTATGGTCATCCTGGTCGTGTGACAGTGAAGTATCCTTTTACAGTACTGTCTGTTTTCATCGTGCTCGTAGGACTTTGTTTCATTCCAGTCGCATTCTCATAACTGAGAAATAAACCGACACGTATTTAAGCTTAAACCAGGTGCCTCGAATCGTTGTCACAGTTGTAAGCTGTTTAAAACCATGTAGAATCACAGCTCCTTCCAATGGCTCATTGTCCACTCGTACTTTACCAACCCTGGGGCCAGTTGTTGATACACAGATGGAAGAATGTTTCAGACTGTTGTTGGTCTCTCACTTGCTGACAATGTTTTGACATTGCTGTTCTCGTTGCGGCTGTAACTGTCTTATATGGTCTAAGTGATCTCTGCTGTTAACAGAAATTGGTGAAACGGACATGAGGACTCTCATCTGTTTCCTGCAGCTTAATGAAGCCCACTTTCTCACTCATTAGCTGGCACTATTGTTTCAGTGCAAGTGACATTAATTTGTCCGCTGCGATTGGCGCTTGATTTACGGTTACTCAACTTAATGTATGTGACCGCTGAGTAATTTCCCTTCTTTCGGTAACTTTAACTTCAGTGTTTTTGTCCCATTTGCTAGTACAGATCTAGACAATTTTGCATCATTTTCCGTTAGCGTATTATTCAATGGGCTGACATTTAATTTTTTGCATAATTAGGGATGCTTTTTTAAGCACACTACTACGCTTCGTTTTTGCGAACAAAATTAACGGAATTTTCTCTTATTTTCAGCGTTTTCTCACTAATCACCCACTGGATCAGAAATCGCCTTTTTCAGCAATGGAACTATTTCCCAGTCCGTTTGGTGTCCTTCCAATTCAACTGATTTTTTGCCACCTAGCCCCGTTTTCCCTGGGAACCAGTTTAGCCAAAATATCGGATATTTTACCTGCTGTCGTCCATATCGACCCCCGCAATCCGGATAAGGCTACCGTGGTATTTTGCTAACTTACCCTATCAAGTTGTTCCCGATGTCTTAGGGTTGTCAAATCGGTCCCGTATATTATAGCAATACTAACTGTTCTTCGTTGAAAGACACCAAGTGAGATTGAATTCTTTATAAGCTATTCACTAATTCAATGCTTAGTAGCTTGCCTACCTATGTGCCATAGCTACTGTATGAAAATACCTTTTTCATACTGAATTGTTAGTAATTAGTCTGTCTAATACAATCCACCTTTGCCTGAAAAGCGCATACTGCGGAATCTACTTAGCTAACGTCCTTTTGCCTACCCTTTCACAACATGGGTTCTGCCATTGCTTCAGCCTTGTTCCTCTCTAGCGGTCCATTTCACTACACATTTCGTGCTGATGTGATAGTTGTCGTGCATTATATCACTTTTCGGTGATATCTTCCGCATGCCTGCGGAACCACGCGGTTCATTGGTCAGATTTCAACGAAACTGTCCGGGTAATGTAAGTTCAACCATAACCGATTTTTTCGGAAACCGGGGTCTGAAATGCGCTGGTATACCTCAATCGTTTTCGCGTTGCTGGTCCAGCATTTCTCCGGTCACTATTTAAGAATGACCAACTTGTTTGAGCAGTTATGAAAGGGAGAGACCATACCAGCCAACTAATGTGAATCGTTTACACTAGCGACCTGCAAGAATCGGAGTCACACCATTTATGCTAGCCACTTGCCTGCCAACCTAACGCTTGTGGTGTTACATGCCACCACCTTATCCGAAATGATGGTGAACGCTGAGGAGTACTGAGCAGTACCGGTCACACAGTTTGTTAGGTGGTGTAGCGTTGGGCACATATTACGTACGCTCTCATCGCTTGTCGAGGTTGTTGGCATTGATTTATTTATCGACTGTGGATGATACAAGGCTCAAAAGGTCGTTTACGTGGCTACAGGAAAGAATGCGACCAAACAGCGCGCTGTCTGCCCGTTTCACTGTCTATGCTGAAGTTCATACAGCATTACGATTGACTTGAGCATTTGGCTCGCAGTCTACACCACTGACGCGTTTCCTGTTCTGTGCTGCTCAGATTGCTTATTCGGAGTATCTATTGCGTAGTCATTTCTAGGATGAGACGGGGCAATGAACGCTTCAAGGCAGCTACCTCGCTGATGCGAACTTACATTCGCACCATAGCCAGCGGCTTGTTACCACACGTTGTTGACAAGATGCAGACACCCTTCCATGATTTTTTTTACTTGGGACATTTAGTTGGCGGTTGAACTATTCGCTGAGCTTGGCAATTTTGTAAAGAACTTTTCGTCACCAATCGAGGAGACATCATCAGTGCATAGTTGAGTGGCGTGCAGTAGCGTAGAGGAGCCTCAGTGAGAGTGCACTAGGCTCCCTTTTCCCCAGTTTTTATTTCATTGGTCATCAAAATTGTACGACATGATAGCCGCATTTCAAATCACTGATGTGCAGCTGTCGATGACGGACATATGGTGAATCGCACAAACCACAGTAGTTCACCGTCTTATCAACATCTTCGTTTAATATGCAAGCGGTTATTGATCCGAGCTTCACACCGTCCTATTCCTATCAAATACAAAGGGATCTTCGTCACTCGGCGACTGAACATGTCGCAAGGATTCAAAACAGGACAACCGGTCTAGTATTATCCATTGATCACCGCCACCTATAACGCATCTGTGGGGTCTTTGCTGGTGCCATTAATCACACGATGCCATGTAGGTAACGTGATATCTATGACTATGAGTTTTTCGGATCGAAATGACTACCTTTCATTGTCGGTGGCCTGGCGACGAACACGTTGGCCCTGCATACACCGCCTTATAACCATTAGAAATCCCCTTATGCCTACGAAGATGTAACCAAGACACGAGAGCGTTCCTACGATGAGCATATTTGAATTGACCTCATCAGTCACGCACCTCTTGTTCCCATGACTGCCAATAGATTCCAATTGATCAACCAATTCTAGCTCATAGCCATTAGGGACCAACGCAATAAGAAAAGATTGACGATCAGTTTAAAGTAGTTTGTCATTTCAAATTACAGTGCAGCATAAAGGAAGTCGTGGGAATTGAACGTTACCTTTCCCACTCAAAGTTGCCAAATAGCAAGCCGTTCCGTCTACCGGCTGTACTGAGCATCAGGCTTATTGATTTTGCTCGTCATTGTTCTCTGACGTTGGCATTCATGATTTCACAGTTTCAACAAATTTTATACACACAAAGTGACTTCAAAGCTGATTTCCACACTTTTGCTAATGGCTAAATCCTCTGTGGGCGTGCTTGCTCCGAATCGAGATAGGTGCAGTGACTGGACTATTGCACATGGATTGACCCTCACTCTATGCATCCGTTGGCGATGTGCAGTACAGCCTGTTGCTCTGTGGACCTTAACTCATCGATGCTTGTGCCTATAGGATGTGCCGTTTACGCTAATTTTGTGTTCCTCTGTGTGGCAAGCACGAAGATGCACTTTAAAGTGCTTTTCGGGTACCGACTATTGTTACTTAATGATTTTGTTTGTTCTCAACAACCATCATATCCGTTCGAATTGGCGACTAAAATTGTGGATGGAGTGTGTTTCGGGCGAATTCACGCCGCGGTAGTTGGAAGCATGCTTATCGGGACTGATGACTACTTATTCCTCTGCCACTACTTGTTGCCTCAGATTGAGCCTCAAAGCATATTCGCGTTTGCAATCTTTCTTCCTCAACCCCTATTGTTCGCGGAAACTTCCATGTTGTCCACATTGATGGGAATGGAAAAGCTCTTTGGTTACTCCTTACGTTCAGTGGCTTCCAAAGCATCCCGCAACGTGAGTACAGTTTGTTCCTTTTGCGTGCTTAAACATTCGTCAAGTTCCAAGCGCCGCAGAAACCCCATTTTTACCGGTGTCTGGACCGTTTGGACATCTAGCAGTTCTCCGTTAGGTACAAATTTGCTTCAGAATGCCTGCCTTTTGGCTGAGTTACATTTACATTCTGTTAATGCACATTTCTGATAATTTGAAATTCCGAAGGAATCTCCTTTCGGAATCTTTTTCGCGTGCCACTCTGACACCATTAACAGAGACAGGAAAGATGAGAAGGCTTCTGACCGTCACTACTAACCGCGGTTAAAGCCTTGTTTATTTTGGGGGTGCTACTTTGTAAGCGGTGATGCAGTTAAAGCGCTGCTGCGGAATGCCGTATTACTGCCAACGTTGTCCGCCTTCTCTTTTGCTTAGCATACGCCATCTTTTGTTTCCGAGCTTTTATACGATGATACCTAGTTAGTATTTCGCTTTACTTGTTATGTCATCTACGGCATATTTCAACATGCCAGCTTATCTTCCATTTGTAGTTTCGCAACCATCATTTTCAACAAAAAGACCGAAGAGATCCACGTGGTTCATAAGAAACCAGAATTTCTCTCTCCATGTTTCAAAGGTGGGCTTCACCCGAACATTTTGACTCATTCCTTTGCCGCTAGACACCGAACCCTCCGCCACCAGCGACTCTTTGGCCGTTGATGTAAGTTATCATTTCCCAATTTATCCTATTTTTCATAACGTTCTTCCCCAGATTTCTCGGGCACTTGCTTTTTCCATGCTAGTCGTTTGATACTTACAGAGGGGGATTGCGCGCCTGCGTTACAATCCAGAGATCACGGGGTCGAATCCGCGTGAGCTCGCTGTGATGTTGGTCACGTGGCAGCGCACGTCGGTACGATATGCCGGCATACTGCTGACTCCTCTCTTGATGTGATAGTCATCACACATAAACATCCCAGACGACTGTTTTATCCCCTCGGGATTCTCAGCTGTTTACCTCCCGTCTAAGGAGTATGACCGCGGATTGTAGACTCATTTGGAGGCATCAGCGGTATGCCGGTACATAGTACCGACGCTTCACTGCCGCGCAACAACCGCTAGTCGAACGTGGGCTGAAGATACTACGTGGGTCGCCTGCTCGCTACACAGGCTCGAACCCGCGCCCTCAGATTACAAGGCATGCTCGTGATCCTTAAGGCTCCCGAAAGCCCATATAGAGCAGCTGAACTACGCACTGCTGATTGTTGTATCAGGATCCGTATATCTCACAGAAGTACATTGTAGGAGGCACGTAGGCGATACAACTGTCCAGAAAAAGGGCACTCAACTTGTTACTCCGTTAATCGATCAATCAGTGTTGAGCGAAGTTCAACCAATCCGGATGGGCCTAGGATAGCGAATCACAACACCACTCCCCCCGCCGGAAAACTTCATTTGTGTTGGTATCGATCAACTGGCTTTGATGTACCACTGGACCTGCGTTGTTCACGGGACTTGACTGCAAGGTCGGTTCAGTTGCTCTATAAAACCGACGGGCATTACTATCAAGCCATTTTTCAATCGGCATGTGTTAGGCCCACATGGATGTGTGATTCTCACCCGTGCAGACAGAGTTGGGTGATCCTTTACGGTACTTCTATTTTTGATCTGAGCGAATGATCCCGGCTGCAATGGAATTGAGGTTTTAGCGTAGGATTGTTGATATGTTGCTATGCGGTTTGACACTTCGGGATTTACAAAAAGGGACACGTTGTGTGCAACATTAGGTTTGGTGCTTAAGGGTCTTCCTAGGATCAGCTTGGCAGGCGGTTTTCTTGTGTCTCTCTGTTAACAGCGCCCTTAAGGCAGCTTCTTCCCACTCTAACCTTCCTAGTTGGATGGCCCGTATTGCCTCCTTGAGAGACCGATTGAGGCGCTCCACCATGCCGTTGGCTGCAGTGCGAAAATGTTTCACCTTATTTCGTTTCAGGAAAGTTTCGAATCCGTAACTACAAAATTGGGGAGCATTATCAGTAACCACTTCCTCTGGTAATCCGAAGCGACTAAACAGATGTCTAAACCATCGCAGCGCTACGGAAGAAGTTACTTGGTCACATATATGAACCTCAGGCCATTTGCTGTAAAGGCAGGTTGAAACAAGTCGATTTTTCTTATTCCCCAGAGCAGTGACGAAAGGGCCCCTAGCATCAATTGCAACTTTGGCCAACGGCCCCATCGGGTATGGTATCGGTTGTATGGGAGCCTCGACAGGCAGGTAACTTTTGTCCGCTACTCGGCAACTTTGACAGTTTCTCACAAATGCTTCAATATTTGATGCCATTTCTCGCCACCAAAAGTAATGTAGAATTTTATTTTTAGTTCGGGCCATACCCGGATGACCCTCATTCGCACACACAGTTATCTTGTTGACCAGCACAGATGGAGCTGCAAATACTGCATTTCGCATTAGACAACCATCTACGACTGAAAGTTCCTGTCGAGTTGCATAGTACGGAAGGAACTCACAGGAAATTTTATTGTTGTTCGTCTGTCCCTACTGATCCTAAGCCACAAACTGCTGCAGCCTCGCATCTCTCGCATTCTCGGTTTCTAATTCATTAATCGTTAGGGTCTACAAATCAAATCCAAAACTAGACACCATTGCCGCTTCTCTGTATGCTTCTATTCTATCCTCCAGTCCCAAAATAAGCGGACTAATCCATCCGTGATCTGATTCTGCCATCTTGGCCGTTAAACGATTTGGATATCGTAACTGAGAAGTCTGGCCTACGAACGATTTATTCGCATTGGGCGGCACCATTTAGATCCATTCGTGGGGAGGGTGTTGCGAACAGAGTGGTGGTCAGCTCGTTAAGTGAAACGGCAGCCAGAGGTAAGGATGTCATTTATCGTAAGCCCACACACAAGCGAGAGCTTCCTTTTTGCCGAAGGAGTAGTCACCTTCATAGTTTGATAAC